GTGTGTGTGTGTGTGTGTGTGTGTGTGTGTGGTGAGGAAAATCAACAATGAAACAATCCCTGACCCCCTGCCACCCACCCCACCACCCCTGAGTTTGTAACCTGAAGCTGGTCATGTTACAGACTCAACAAAAGGAAAAAGCTGGGTGGGCTCAAACACCTTGTTTACGCCATTAACAGTTCATGSTCTGACATTTAAAAAAACAGGAAGCTGGCAGACAATAAAGGTGATGGAGCAGCACCTGTGTTAGATCGCTGGGCGTGTTGGTCCTGGAGCAGCATCAACACCATGACTCGCCTGCTGCTCGGAGCCGTGCTGCTGGGGTACCTGAGCGACCACATCGCAGCACAAGGTAACCTTAAACCCACACCCTCTGATCTGAGCTTCAGCTTTAAAACATGGGAGACAATCAGAGAAATCAAGCTCACTTCAGTTTACAGAGACTAAAACAGATTCAGGATTTTGTTGTGCCTCATTTTGCTTTGTAGCAAGAAATACATTATTCCAGGTTAGGAATCACAGATTTGATAACAGCAGTATAACTGATGGTGCAGATTTATAAGAACAAAGACATAATGTGAGAAAAAAAATATATAAAATCTGCAAAGTGTCTGTTATTGCTCCAGAGCTGATTAGTTTGGCTCCACATCTGCAGAGCTGCAATATCTGAAGATTTTCTGTAAGTTGGAACAAGAGCAATAATTTCTATTTGAAGAGGTAAAGCAAAGAACGAGAAAGAAGTTTATTATAAAAAAAATGAAATACAGTTAAATATAAAGTAAATGTGTTGCTTTTACTTAAGTCAGTTGTGTGAAATCAGTTGACGTAATTATTTAAAAATTAAATCCAGCACATTTATAACTTTTAGGACTTTGTTTGCTTTACAGCAGTTTAACATTAGATTCTTTGCATGTATATTTTAAAGGTAGATGTTGATTTTTTTTTCATTTATTCTACAAATCCTCCTAACTTGTGTCAGATATTAACAAAAGCTGAAGTAAGAGTAAAAAAAAAAAAAACACATTACAACGAGATCCACAGAAAACCTAGACAGCTGATTGTGTGAATTGTACTTCTTTCTTTTGTTTTGCCTTGCTTCAAAGGTCAATTTTATTTGCAAAGCACAGTTAAAAAACCCCAAAGGTTAACCAAAGTGCTTCACAATCAACTGAGAAAAAACTACATTTGAGAAAAAGAGGAAATATAAAATGCAAATAAATAAATAAATAAATAAATAAATAAATAAATAGCAGCCATCACCTTTATTTGTTCCATTATCAAACTCTGACATTGATCATAAATAATTTCTTGTGTTGCAGTGATGCTCCCTGCTCCGTCTCAAGTGATGTTTAAATCCACCGACTACAAAAACGTCCTGCACTGGACCCCACCCACCAACAGCTCCTCACTGCAGTATAAGGTCCAGTGGAAGATGTGAGATACTGTACACACACGTCCCCCCCACACACATACAAATCCTTGTATTTGCATAAAACTGAGGACATTGTATTGACTTTCATTCATTTTTGTAACTGTATTTATGCCTAAGCCAGACATTTTCCTTAAAACTAACCATTACTGGTCTATAGTTAACCCTAACCTGAACCAAAMCAGAATTCACACCAAACCTTTAAACCTGACTCGTAGAGTGCAGAGCTGCAACTGAAGAGGTCCTCACTTTACAACAAAGACCTCCCTTTGATAATAACTATGGYGCAAATGGTTCTCACTCTGTAGTCAAAACAAGTACACACACACGCGCATGCACATATGCACGTAGGACACACACAGCCATGCACACAAATGTGCATATGAGAAGTGCAAAATAGTATTTTGTTCCATTTTGTTTTCATGAATTAAAGCTAATTAGTAAACTGCAGGTATCATTTACCATTTATTTTCTGTTATCAAACATAAAAACGCAAGTTTTAATAAAACAAAAGCTTCATATTATTGTAACTTTCTAAAATATTTTTTGTAAGTATTTGTTCAGTTGTTTCAGCTTTTATTCTTTGAAAAGAGAACGGATAGAAAACAGAAATGTTGATGTTTTAAGAATATTAAATTGTATGTTTTTTGCAAGAAAGCTACAAGGAGCAAAACAGTAGGTAAAATAAGGAAAACTGTAGCAAAAATATTTAAATTGTCAAAACCATAGCTAAAAACTAAAATGATGGAAACCATTGCTAAAAGCTAAACTAAAGGAAGCTGTAGCTAAGCGCTAAAATGTCAAAAATCCAAAAGCCAAAATGAACAAAATTATAGTTAAAATAAAAAAACAACAAAATATTTAAATGACTGAAACCATAGCTCAAAGTTATATAAAGCAGAAGAAGACAAAAACAACGTCAGTATGCTGGAGTAGATATTACTTTGAAGGAACTGAGGAAAATTTAATACCGTTTGATGGAGATTCTTTTGAAATGTGTGAAAGTTACAAATAGTAAACCTGCATTTCCAGTTAAACTGAACATTGTGTTTGTGAAAAACATCAAAATAAACTAGAAACAGAAAAGAACAAAGTGAATGCTGACTCAGCATGTTGCACAGTAAAGTGTTCTCTTCCATTRATGTACACAGGTGTGGTTCAACCAGGGTCTTGTTTGTAAAAAAACTGATGAGTGTGTGTCTTTACACCTTCAGTTACGGGGAGCCTGATTGGTTGGATGCTGAGAGCTGTCAGGGGATCCACAAGCGCCACTGCGACCTCAGCAGCGTCACCTCAAAGACCAGYGAGTGGTACTACGCCCGGGTGAGCGCCGTCTCCGCTTTGTCCAGCAGCAGATCTGCCTGGACCCTGTCCCCCAGATTCAGCCCTCGCTGGGACAGTAAGTGGTCCCTTCAGCATCCCCCACCTGAAACAGAACACACACACACAGTCGCTCTTCTGCAAATAAACTCTGCTCAATGTGAATCTGCAGCAAAAATCACGCCTCCTTCACTGAAGGCGAGCGTCACCCAGCAAGGCATCGTGGTTCAAGTGAAGGCCTCCCGAGGGCTGGTCCGCAAGATGCACCGCAGTCTGCTCTACAACGTCTTCGTCATCCACGCCAACAAAAGTGAGGTACGCACGAATCAAACTGTTTTACTAAAAGAGCCAAGAGCAAAGACGTTTGCAGTAAATGAAACAGGAAAAAAAATAAACCTGCACTGTCATTTTTGAGTCATGGCATCTGGAATGTAAAAGTAGCACATCAGTACCAATCAGACAAAGAGGAAATGAGTGACAGGAGACGGAAGAGGAAGAGCAGAGGAACAAGAACAAATAAAACAAAAAGAAGAACAAAACAACCTACAGCTCCACTTTTCTGTCTGGGTCAGGATGTCGCTTCTTAGCTTCTCTGAGAGGAAACGAGCTGAAATAGTCATTGCATGCAAATGTACAACTGATTCMTTTTTGGAGGGAGTCCAATTCAAGATAGCCAGCTCAGCTGATCAATATTAACCACWACAAAAATAGCTAAAAACTACTAAATTTAACGAATATCGAATTAAAATTTGGAGTGGTAGTAGCTTCGAGTTACTCACAACACATACTGTGAAATTAAAAACTTCAGATGCACTGACTGGCACATTTTTATAACATGGCTCCATGGTAGCAAAATAAAAAGACCGTATTGATGCAGTTGACCTTCTCCTCTCCAGGAGGTGTTTGAGGTGACCTGCTGCTCCAACCTGACTCTGACTAAGATGAACCCCAGAACGAAATACTGCCTCCAGGCACAGACCGTCATCCCCTGGCACGTCAAAAGCAGCGTTAGGAGCACYGCAAAATGCATCAAGACACCCTGATCACACAGGTATGAACACACATGCACGGTCTGGTACTGTCTGTATTTGGGACTTTGCATTGACTTCCATTCATTTCTATAGCCTAACCCAGGGGTCTGCAACTGCGGCTCTGGGGCCACTTGTGGCTCTTTGGCCCCTCTGCAGTGGCTCTTTGAAAATATGACCAAACATAACAATTTTTGGGGTTTGTATACCCACAACAGAAACCAAATTGTATGTAAATATGTGATCAACACTGATACAAAAAGTAAAATATATTAGCTCATGCTAGCTTGTTGTTTTCTGAAATAATTGAACTTCTTTCTGTGATCTTTCTCTCAAATCCATCAGAATAGCCTTTAAAGAATTTGACGACTACATAACAATAATTAGAAAAAAACATACCTGAATAATTCAGTTTTTATGAAATTTGGTATAAACCACAGTATTTTTCTTGTTTACACAAATCTGTTCTTTTTATTTGTCCTGATGTGTATAATAATAACAATAATAATAATAATTTATGCCCTAATTATAATGTCACCTCCACTGACCGTAAAGGTTCCCGAAAGGACCTCGAAAAGGCCCACATACCACCACTTGATAATCATAGTCGTAGCTTGTTTTGCAGCTCCGGACACATTTTATTAGTGAGACAAGCAGCACAAATGGCTCTTTTGATTGTAAAGGTTGCAGACCCCTGGSCTAACCCCTTACCATACACCTAACCTCACAGGTACAAACCTAAACCTAAGCAACCAATGGCATTTCCCCCCGTCTAAGATCAAGTACCCATGAGTAGGTTTGTTATGCCAAAACATTGTGCCCTTATAGTAGGGAATACCCGCCCGTAGAGTGTCGCCTACACAGACCCCCCCCCACCCCCATCTGTCATGTCGCTCTTTCAGCTGCAGCAAAAAGGCCCGTATATCCATGAGAACGTGCTGCACACACACCGCTCACAGTATCGTCAGCGAGTGAAAGACATCCTCTTTGTTCCAGTGAGAAGTCAGGTATCAGCTGTCACAGAAGAATCACCCAAAGCTGCGGGACAAGMAAAAGAGTGGGGGGTGGGTTTGTGAAACTCCTGGAGGAGAAATCTTAGGAAGAGTTYCTCCTCAAAGATTATAACTACCTTCCCCCACCCTCTCGATGGCATTTTAAATCGATTTGAATGGTTGCTCTCTTCTGTTTCATTAATTTTATTTATTTTTTGATATCTTTGTTGCAGAGGATTCGATCCGACTCGTCACTACAGCTTTAATCGTCCTCACTACCTCGACAAGCAACGAAGATCTCTGCTAGAATAAATGGTGCCGTTTGAATGAGTTTACTCCTGTAGTTCTCTATATATCTTATTATGCAAGTGTGAAATGTGGGTACGCGCTCAATGTAAATGAACCATTTTTACCTGCACACTTTACTCAATAAATATTAGCATGTGTACCAAGACATCAAAATTGTTGGGACTTCATGCAAACAGCTCATCGGAGTTGTTGACCTGGTTTCAGCCACTTCGGCTGTTATTGGGCTTTTTTTGTTTGCTTTGTTTCCTGAAGCTGTAAGCTCTTTAGATCTTAACATGAGGATGATCACTTGGGACAAAAGCTGTGAAAAACATGACAAAGTAAACCTTCATGCATTTTTATTTGAACAAGTTTCTCTTCTCTTTACACACTTTCAATATTTAAAACATAAAAGTATAATTTTACTGCAGCGAGTTGTCATTTAGGCGCTTACTTCTAACAAAACAAAAGACAGGCGACAATTGCCTCGATTCGGACTTTATTCAAAATCTCGATAAACACGATACTGTTGATCGATCAGGCATGAAATAACAACCAATACTGTGAGGATAACAAACACGGCTCACTGAAACAGAAGCTAAGTCTGACACAGTCAGTGTCACACAAGTGTTCAGTGACTTCAACAACAAATAAGTTTAACAGCAGGTTTTTGTCATTGGTGACGGGTCTTTCAGATACAACGTTTTAAACAAAAGCAGCAGGTTTAATTAGTGSTTCTGCATCTGAATACAGAAAAGAATCAGAAATTTGGTCCCACAGCCAGAATCCTGACTGTTTATATTATTGCTGCAGTTCATCCAGTGCAGTGGTTTCATTGAGCTAATATTAAGTTTTCTGTGTGGTTGAGTGAAATGTACAGGACCAGCGTGTTCTTTATACAACGTGTCAGTTCTCACAGAAACTGGCCTACAGACAGCACCTTTAACAGYTGGTAAGGCTTTGACAGTGTTCGAGCTGGTTTTAAAGTCAACGGTAATAAAAAATGCATAAAAAGGGACACTTCATACTCTACAGAAAATGTCTCAGCAGTACGCAACAGGAATATATTTACACCGTCTGCTAAACGCGTAACTTTCTGAAWATGAATTCTTGGTGAACTCAGTAAACCGATAAGAAAAACACAAAAATACGAGGGCATAAAATCACAAGTAAACATGTTTTTTTTTTCTCCAGCATTTAGATCGACTCTGGAGCTTTATCCAGAACATATACTGCATATTCAATCCTACATTCTTTCAAATTCACAAAAATCTGGAGAACCTTCCTAACAAACCAAGACACCGAGCCCTTTGTGAGTCCTGAGCAAAACATTCAACTTGCTGAATGTTTAGAGTTTAATAACAATAATAATACAATTTAAGAGTTCACGCTCTTCATGCAAATATCTCCAGACTTTCTTGAGTCTGTTTGGATCAGTATTAGCCAAATGATGGGTTTATTGCTTATGTTTATTGCTTATTTATAGCTTATTGCTATGTGTTTATTTATTCAACTGAAAACAAAACKAAGACTCAAATTCAATAAAACCAGTTAAATGTAACAGTTCAATTAGAAATACTGAAGTAAAATAAGGATATGAATGTGGAGTGTAGAATTACTGACCTTAAAAAAAGGAATTATAGGCACARGGTTTTCTGAACAGATACTGTGTGACCTTTTGCAGAGCTAGACCTGGTTTGACGTCAGTCCACCAGCTGTCATCATAAGGAATTGTTTTTTGTATTTGATTTACTAATTTAATGTGGGTTTTTTTTTTATTTCTGATGTAAACATCCATGCTTTGAAAGCTCCACCACATTGCTGGGGAATAACACACAAATACAGCTTAACCCCAGATTTACACTGCACGCGGCTCCGCTCCAGTCTGCTGCGCCGCGCAGCTCGTAGTCATTTGTTTCCACCCTGATTTCCACTGCGAAAACGTGCGATAAATCCAGTGAGAAATGTGGAAGTCAGACCTAATTAATGCGTTCTGTGGGAGACGGACTGGAAACAACAGCTGTCTTTGGAATCCACATTTCAAAATTAAACCCACACATTTTGTGTGCTGCTATCTGCTTCCCTAACAGAACGATAAATTGTGACAGCATGTATGCATAAATAAATATATCTAAGTATTTATTAATATAGCTAGGATTTTGACAAAATTATTTTGAAAATACAGATGTGCTCGTTCCTTTTCCTGCTGGTTCGCTGTGATCTCTGTAGATTAAATAGGATTGAATCTAATTCTGGTAGATCGCGTGCAAATGCAGTGTAAATGCTTTCATTGATTATAATGCGGAGCGGGGCGGATGCAGTGTAAACTGGGGRGGTGAGAGATTCCACGTCTGCTGTGTAAGACTTTTAGTGCTTTTCTAACATTTTCAGGGTGTTCTGAATGGAAACTTATCTGCTCCATGATTTCATATGTAACCTGTCCCTGGAGCACAAACGGTACTGCAGCGTCGCTGACTCTTAGAACAATCACAAAACATGTATACAAAGGCTGATGGTGGGTAAAAAGTACTATTTACAACGTCTTTTCTTTTTACATTAAGACTATAAATGCATGCATGATTCTCAAGTCAAAACAATTATCTAAGAGCGTGATCACACAGCTCTGAAACTGATATGGAATGTACGGCCTGCTGGCCGCTAAAGGTAAGGTCGAGTCTCTTCATATTAAATTACGGATAAAAATAAATAAAAAAGGTGAGGGTGTAGTGTTGGGAGCGCTGCAGCGGCGGTCAACGTTGCGCTGCACTGACAGAATGAGAAAAAGGAGGGGCTTGACACAGGCGAGGAGAGACGAGAGAAGTAGCAGAGAGAGAGATGCTAATCTGGCTCCGGGACGTCCCGCTCAGGTTTCAGAGCCGCTTGTGTTCTGGAGACGTGACGACAWGAAAGAGCTCCTGTGACAGACCCATGTCACTATGCTTAAAGTTGAGTTTTCTACATAAAAGTTTTAAAAAGGGAGAGAAACAAAACCCGACYGTCTCCAAGCAGAGTGGCTCRYYCCTCCTGGCTGTTAGGAGAGGAAGCCTTTCTCCAGCTCGAAAACAGAGGGCCGTCCCGGGGAGCTCTGGATGCGGCAGAGCGGCACGGTGCAGTCCCGTTTCTGTCCCTCTGCATCCACGTCGAGCAGCGAGCAGCCCCGCTCCGAGGACAGCGCCATGCTCAGGTTCTGAGCCGCCTTCTCTCCCGAGTAGTGACCCAGGGAGCAGCTCTTGTTGTGGCGCCGCAGCAGGGCCCAGGTGTGAGGCTTGGCCCGGAACGACACGGGCCGCGGCCGCGGGTCCGCCGCTCCGCTCGGCGGCTTTTCGTCTTTCTGGTTTTCCCGCTTCCTCTGCGCGGCAGGAGGGGGCGCGGGGGGTGGGCCGTTGGCTGTGAACAAAGAGTGGAGTCAGATAAGTGGCTGGAAACGCAGCGTTTCTTCCTGGTGCTGTGTGGAACTCACCGCTGTGGTTGCTGGTGTACTTCTTCCTGCGCAGACGGGTTCCTGTGTTGTGGTTCTTCTCCGACAGCTGGCTCTGAGTTTGGACTGCTTTCTGGGTGTCGGCTGCAGTTCTGTTCCTCTGCTTGTCAGCGACAGCTGCTCTGCCGGGTCGGGAYGGCTCCGTGTGGTGGTTAGTAACGACACGCTCAGGCTTGGCCGAACCGGAGTCTGACACCTCAGCCTCCGGCGGCAGGAGGCACTTGGTGGAGTTGCACTCCATAATGGCCGACATGGAGACCAGATTGACGGCCTGGGCGGCGCTGTGGTTTGACGCCGTCTCTTCTTTGCGGGGACGACCTCCTGGTGGCGAGGTGCTGCGGCGGAATCGAGTGGCGCGCTGAAAGAGGCCCTCCTTTCTCTTCTTCTCCTCTTTCGGGGGCTCAGACTCCTCCCCGGGGGCCGCGGTTTTAATCGCCTCTCTAATATCGTACCCGAGCACAACGGAGGCCAGCAGCGTCCCGCAGCCGTACAGTGCCGAGTCCGTCCTGCGGTGAGCTGAGGCTCTTTTCAAGCTGTTGGTGGGGGTTAGCTGTGGGGTGGTCGAGGTGGAGGAGGTGGACGTGGTCGTGCAGGGGTCATCTGGAGTTTCAGGCGGGCCGCCTGGACTTCCTGCGCCGACCCCAGCATCTCCCGGTCCATTGGAGCTGTGGGGCTGCTGCTCGTCCCTCCACAGAGGTAGATCGATGTACACCTGGTTGGGGAACTTGAGCTGCTTTGGTTTGGAGCTGCTGTCGGGACATTCCTGCGAGAACGCCTCTTCTTTACCTGCTGAAAACACACAAATTACACTCTGAAAACACACAACTGAAACCATTCAGCTCAAACAGCAAGTAAAACCAGATGTCAAACTAAAAAAAAAAAAACACAAAAAAAAACCTAGAGATAATTTGTTTTCTCTAAATTAAAGTTGCATACTTTACAAGAATCTAATTGAAGTTTTAAGACAATTAAGGACAATTTAACATTTGGACAATAACTCACTGACGCAAATGTTTTTGTTTAAATTTAAATKATCTTTTTTTTTATATTTAACAACACTTAGAAGAACTAAACCGCCATTTTCAATACTTTTCAAAGTTGTTAACCAAAACATCTTAGGATCCAAGTTTCAGGCACCTTGTTCAACAAACAGGGCAGCAAGTGGGACAGACTTCTGGGACTTCAGCAGGCTGGTGGACCAGGGGTTACTGCCGTCGGACAGAGGACGCACTCTGAAAATAAAACACCACAATTTATCAGCTCCTGAAAAAAAGTATCAATTTGAAATTAAATCCATACAATTTTCTTAGGAATGAGGAAAAACTAGGTCCAAATATTAGAAACATAAATAAGGTGAACTAAGACTTTAAAGGGTATACAGTATGTAACAATTTACAAAAAAAGGAAGATTTTATGAATGTGGATAAATATAATTTACTAAAAATAATTTTGGTTTGCAATRTATTTATCCCCCCTACTTAAAGAAAGGATGCTGCTGTTGACTGAAAGCAGCTTGAGGTGTAAAAGGAAAATCTGAGCTGACGGTGTGACGTTAGAAGGCTCCTGAGGTCACAACTGAAACTGAAGATACTGTCAGCAGCTGTTAAATTATCAACTCAGAAATAAAAGGGATGGGGGAACTGACTGAGGTTGTGGAACTTGAGATGAATGATTATTTAAATCCTACCTCTCAGCTGCAGCAGGTCTTTCTTTGCTCTGCACTGAACTGGGGCCCCACGTTCTTCCTTTTTTCTTGATTCCTTTTTTCACGTCGTCAAACTCCTCCGGCCTGAAGAGGGAGCTGCGGCCCCACGTACGGTTGCTCTCATCTTGGGTTACTGTGAACATAAGAGTTTTCTGGTGTTACTACAGGCTTTAAATCTGAGGTAGACACACTAGTAGGATTATTAGCAATACTGTTATGTGTTGTAACTTTTTTTTTGCAAATTGGTTGTTTGTTATTCTCTAAACTATAAAGTATCCTTACATAAAAACAGAATAAAAGCCATTCCCAACTGAACAATCTTTGTTAACAAACATAGACTAATAAAGATTCAGAATGACTCTATAATGCTGTTATACAATAAAACTTTATCATTCACCAATATATATATTACAAGAAGTTATCTTTTTATAATTAGAAAAACCATAAAAGTTATGTCCTGATGCATCTCAGTAATCCAGGTAGAAAAAAATCCAAAAGAAAAAATAAGTAGGACCTCTGGACGGGTTCTTCTTTAGTGAAACGTTTCGTCTCTCCTCCAAGAGACTTCTTCAGTCTGATGAGTTTCAGGTGAACTCRGCCATAAAAGCACACACACATGACCCTCTATGAACAATAGAACTAATCAAGCCTATTGTTAGGTGATGGCCCTCTTTTGCATGTGACTAACCTGTTTGTCCACCATGTGGAGGCAGTGCTTATAAGGCTGAGTTCAGCTGAAACTCATCAGACTGAAGAAGTCTCTTGGAGGAGAGACGAAACGTTTCACTAAAGAAGAACCCGTCCAGARGACCTACTTATTTTGTCTTTCTCATAAAAGTTGTGTGAGGATAAAAACTACAAAGATCATAAAGGAATGCTAGTTTTTATTATTAAAGCTCAAAGGTAAAGACARCTAACTTTGTAAAAGCTATAGCAGCAATAAACGGGAGAAATGAATCTAAGCATTTACGAACGTCTTTATTGTAGGAGTGGACGCTACAGGAAAAGTAGGTATAGATCCAATTAACCTCCCCCTAAAAAAAAAAAAAAATAAAAAAAAAAAAAAAAGACTGGACTAGTATTACCAATTTCTATCCCAGTTCCAATACTTTTTTACTGGAAATGTTATGATTATTGAATAAATTTGTAATTTTGCCTTTAGTTAGTAGATTATGATAAAGCAACAGGGTAATGATTTTAGAAAAATAAAAATCTTTTGTACAAACCAATTACAACAATATTAAACAGTATAAAAATAATAAAATAATTCCACTATTACCTTCTACTACACACAGTTTATATAAATRTATAAATATAACAATGTCAACAACACAACAAAAAATACCTTCCATTGCTTTGTGGCTAAAAAGGAAGAGCAGTGTGCAAAAACAACCCCATATCTTCTCTACATATTTTGTTAATTTTTTTTATTATAAGAAGTCAAACTTAATTATCTAGCAGAATTTAGTATGAATGTTTTGGGCTGTTTTATGACTGGAAATCTTAATGTTTCATCATTAAATCATGTCAGTCAGCAGTGATGCTGTATATCTCAGCAACATCCCACACGCACACTGAACATCTCCATCGAGCAGAAATGCACAGGAGGAATTTGCTCCAGTTATTACAAGGGCGTTGGTGCGTGACTAAAGTCTTGTCACTGTTTAAACAACTGGCTGACTGCTTGCAGCTCTGGCTTTTGTTCTCATGGCTCCTGTCATTGTGAAAGATACTGTCTCCATGTTCCGTTCCCATGAAACTCCCAGTGAGCTGATGGGATTCCTTCCATCATCACGTTCAAATAAGCAGCTCTGACCTCATGGAGGCAAAGAATGTTCCCCGGTAAAAACACAAAACAAACACAAAAACAGAAACATTCAGACTTGGCAAAAGGACCAACTTGGAGACAGGAAGGGAAAGTGAACCTACGCTGAATGGCTCGCAGCCGGGGGATGAGTGTGGGACTGCTGGGAGGAGAGGAGCTGGTGCTATGAAGGCTACGCCTCTTGTCCATGGAGGGCGACGCCTGTACTGTGATCTTGTGTTGAAAGTCTGAAGGGTGCAACATGAACAGAAAAATGGATGCAATAAAGTTACAATAATAACAGTATTTAAAGGATGAATACAAAACAGGAAGCATTATTTTTTACGTTTAACCCTGAACAGGAATACGCATAAAGTCTTTAAAATTCCACCCATGAACCAAATTTTCTGTGAAAAATCAACTGTTAGTGATGTGAAATGTGCAACTCACCTGAGGGCAGGCTGATGCGGTTCCCATCCTTCAGTTTAAGGCGGGAGCGTTTGAATTTGCCTTTCCTCTTCTTCACGTTGGGCTTGTCTTTGTTGAGCTGGAAAATGAGGATGTTGAGCTCTCTCTCCAACACGTTGATCTCCCGCTCGGCCAGCTGCTGCTCCCGACGCTTCAGCAGCTCCTCCTGAGACTTCTGCTGGAGGGCGGCCCGAGTCAGCTCCTCTTCTCTGGAACGCAGCTCCTGGAAAAAAAAAAACAAAAAAAACAAGCAGACGAATGAATGCGAGGACCATCCTGTCTGATTCGGACATTATAGCCTGGATAAACTGGTTTATATTTCTTCTTGCACAATGATGGTCACATTATTCTGTAGGGACAAATCAGGAACATACTGCAGACACAAAGTCTGCAAACACACTTCTTACAGATAAAGAGGATTAGATAATTCCAAGTTTGCTACAGGAGATTACTGCTCGTTTGTTGCACAGCTACACAATCTATTTTCCCATGGATTCGTTTTTTCTCCATTCCCTTTTGGTTTTACTTTAATTGCTTTTAGCGGAGTAATAATAAAAATAATTATAATTCTTACTGGACAACTTCGTTAAAGCAGCTTTACAGTCAAACCTCGTTGGCCACCCACCTAATAACAGATTATTTGAATGTTTACAGGAAATCTGTTAAATTCAACTAGTAATCCTGTGAATTCAAACAATACTTAAACATGGCAAAGCAACAGCTAAAGATTTAAGTCTAGCTCTAAGTTACAGAAACACACTGACTAAAAAGACGACAGAGCAGTAAAATACACACAAAGATTAACTGGAAAACAGAACAAATTAAAACACACTGCTTGTCTGATTTGGTCCACCATTGGTTGGTTGACTCTGTGTTGATCCTGCCGTTGCTTTAAACACTAATTAACCTCAACTTTAAGCCAGGAGCACTGGCCTTTAYGGGAAGCAGATTAAGGTTTTAACAAGGGGGAAAGTTTGCTGAAGCACCTCGACAATAATGACTTGTTTCGTTAAACATGTAATGAGCTTATCAACCCAAATTTACCAGCAACGCTTGCTGAAGCCGAACCAACCAAATCCAAAACGATAAAAAACTACTGGAACCGACGCCGAAAAGCTCGTCTCGTCACGTCGTTCCCCACCACACTCTCGCCGACAAAACCCAAACTGAGCCACAAAAACCTAAAACACACCAGCTGCTTTAAAAACACACTCAACTCAACAAAAGAGTAAGTCTGTTTTCATTTGGTTTAATGCACTGAAATGACTTGATTGTAAAAATAGTAATTGTATTTATTTTGTGTGTTTTTTAGCTCCTGGATGGAGTTTTTTTGTATGGGTGTATTTTTTATACGAGTAGTTTTGTTTTTTGGGAGTGTTTGTTTTCTCTGTCAAGTTTAATCTTGACCTGCATTATATTTTTTTGTACTTGTAAAGCCAAGTCCACCTCTCTTGTTGTGGAGTAAAGCCCCTCACCTTTTTGCTTCATCCTTCTACTTCCTGCTTGTGCAGCCAAGTTGGAAGCTTGTTTGAAGTGAACTCTGAACTAGGCCTGTCACGATAACAAATTTTGCTGGGCGATTAATTGTCTCAAAATTTATTGCGATAAACGATAATAT